ATCCAATTAAAAAAAAAAAAAACTGTTATATCTCTGTTCACACTTTTGTTGTACAAACAGAATTTATGCAAACTAACTCCATCTTTAAGTTGTGTTGCCTTCCCTGGAGATCACCCCTTGGGTAATCCTAGAAACTGCAGCTCTGGAGATCAACCCTTACTAAGGTAACCCTAGAAACTGCAGCTCTGAATTCATCACGTTGTAGTAGCTTACTAGGTGTAGCAGACTGGCTTTAGCACAGCAGTGAACTAATAGAGGCTGCATGTATAGCCATCTTCCTCTGACTATTAGAACGAACTATTCAACTGAGAATAAAGTTTCCATATAGTTTGGATATGGTGACATGAAAGAAGTTGCAGATTATTCAGTGAGACCGTCGCTTGTAGGGTTGTAGGATGGAGGAAGAAAGGGAGAGTGAGAGGGAGAAGTTTATTTATGGAATGTCAGGGGGCCATTGAAGCTCAGCAGGCCCTAGAAGCAGAGGACTTCCCCCCGTGCTTGTTTTCTCCCTCTGACCTTGGATGAACTAGCGAGCAGTATATTATGCCGGGTGATTGTGCTGGTTTGTCATGGTTAGCATTCTGGACTGTCACTGGAATGTAGGAAACGGATGAATTTGAATTGAACCATGAGGTGGTCTGCTGGGCCCTCTCCTTGTCTCAAGGAAACCTGTCGCTGTTTGTCTGGGCTGGGCCTAATGAAAGCAATGGAGGGAAAGAGAGGTGGGCCTTTGATCTCTTTGTTGCAGCTGCTCCCTGGGAACTCGCTGAAATCAATGCCCTGTTTTCCTGAAGGAATGAATGGCTCTGCCTAACTAGCTTTGTGAAGCCGTGGGGAATTCACTGCCTCTGTTTATTGACAGCTGAAAAGGAGCACATGGGGTGGAATGGACCTTCTTGTGAAAACCAGGCACAGGGAAAATTAGACCTCAATTTAACACAGAGGAATTGGGAAATTCACCCCAAAGGAGACGGGAGTTTCTCATGCTTACATTAGAATTACTCAAGTTTGGGGCTAGTGTGTAATGAACAATGGAGGTTTTGTCACAACTATGTTATAAGTAGGAATATGGTCTGCATAATAAATAATGTTAAGTAGAAGTTGATTCTCTACCCTCCCTCTTTTTTTAAACACAGAAGTAGAGAAAAACAAATATTAACCATGATATAATCAGGTGATTCTTTTATTTTTGCCTTGAGAGAAAAGAAAACAGTGATACAGTAAGCATTATTGATATTATATGGAAACTCTCTAAAATTCATCTTTCATTCATTATATTTTAAAACATCTTTGAACTTGGAAGCTATGTTCCACTCAAGCCAGTGATTCATGCCATTCTGGATTGTGTGCATTGCATGGGAATATTACAATATATATTTATTTTAAAATATTTATATTCCTGAGATATTGTAACTGGAAGTGTGTATCAAACACAAACTGGCTTGTAGACCAAGATTAGCGCCTGGCATTGCAATAGTTGATCAGTCTTAAAATTACCACCTTTATAGTACACACTAAAGAAAAAGTCTTGAGTTTATCACAAGGAAACATCTCTGAGATACCTTCTTTCACATCTCCCCTCACTTGCTTGCTTTCCCAGGAAGAATTTATGGCTTCTTCCTTTGGCCCCCAGCCCTTTGTGTACACCTCTATTATAGCACTTAACACATGGCCCTGTAGCTCTTTATTTAGGTGTATTCTTTTAGCTGGAAGTAAAGCAGCTGTGTTGTATTCATTTTTATATCTCAAGCCTAGCAGAGCTCTTGGCTCAGTAAATGCGGGCTGAATGAATGGGGATTGCTGGCTCTCTCTACATTCCTTAGAAAGTAATTATTTATCCCAGTTTCAACTGCAAATACTAAATTTTGGGAAGACCTGATTGGTCTGTTGTTACCTGATTGTTGCTACTGCTTTTTAAAATTCTTCCTCTGTGGAGAACTATTACGCCCTTTTTTGCTTTAGCAAGTTTGTCAGGCAGTTCACAGCCTCTAGAAGGAAGCATCACCAGTGTGTGGCATTTTTCTTTTTCAGATCCAAGCTCTCTTCTCTGTTATTCTTTCCTAAAAATAAACCTCAACGTAATGTTTAGATATTTCCATTAAGAAGATGAAAAAGCTTTTCATTTAGAATTTTGTAGACTTTCACTTGACCAAATTTAGTGATTGAGATGGATAAGGCTGCCATTTTACATGATTTAATTCTATGATGTAATGTTAAATAATGGCAAAACTCAAAACCTCCCTTGACAATTTCTTTAACCAGATTTACTACCACTGCATGTTTTGAATTCCTTATCAGATAAAGCAAACAAACAGCTTTGCTTCTTAGTGAAAAGTCTAAGGGAAATTTTGATTCTAAAGCACTGACTAGTCTGATGTCACAGAACCCTAGGACGAACCCAATTTTTTTAGCTATTCTCAACTTATAACCTATTTCTTTTTAAAGCCAGAGCTTGAAGTGGGAAATTATTGTCAACATTTTTTGGGAAAATAACGTCTTAAAATCAAATGGAAATTTTTAGAAAGTGTTGTAGGAGGGAGTAAGTAAGCAGACAAGTACAGGAACGGGCTAATACTTTACTCTCCATGTTATTTCTGTTTTATGTTCACTACCAAGATTATTTTTAAAGAAACTTATTTGCACTTCTGTTTTGATTAATAGTAGAGGTGAAATTCACATTTGTGAATTGCAGGAGGAATCTCCTAGAGGAGGAGGCACTTATGTGGGTTGTTACAAATAAGATCGAGTCAGCGGGTTGTGATTCTGAGATTTTAGATTTCTCATGAAACAGAAAAATTACCATGACTTTGATCATTGGTAGACTGTCACCCTGATAAGTATTAACTTGAAGATAAAAAAAAAAAAAGCATTAAGCATAGCACTTTAGGCTTCATAACTTGGCTGCTCAATCCTCCTAGTTTCTGGAAGTAATTTTGTGTGACTTATACCGAAGTAGGGAGAGGCAGAGAGTGGAGGGAATGTAGGAAATCAAACTGCATCTTTTCCATTTGATGTTTCAGCTTTCAGCAGTGAGGAATATCTTTGTCTACATTAATAAAAAAAGAACTACAGACAGGCCAGGGAAGTAACTGCAGTTAAAAATTTTGTTCTTGCTCTGCTTGTAGAATCAGATAACTTCAACTATGTGATTCTTCAGAAAAGAGCCTTTTTCTTTAGACTGAAGACTGCTGTAATATCCCAGAAGAATAATTTCAAGTAACTTAAGAGTCAAACCCTCAAAATAAGTTTGGGAATGGACATATGTTATGTCTGTTTGTTTACATGTGTGTTAATCTATGTAAGCTAACTTCCTAGTAGAAAAATACCAGATATTTCCCTCTTAGACAGTTTCCCGTCCACCCAGACTGACCAAATAAAGCAGCCCTAATAAACATGTATCGAGCCGTTGAAAACAAGATATCCTCCTTACTACTAGATTTAGTTGCAAGAAAGCTATTCTGAAATACAGAACTATTTAAAATTAATGTGTCAGTTGTATAAGATCAGATATGACTATTATAAAGATCATCTGTAATAATTAGATACCTAATCATTTGTAATGAATCATTTGTATATTAATGAGGTTGTTAAAATACTTAGTACATTTTAAGTAGTTTAAATGTTTACTTTGCAACATTACGTATTGTCTCCTTTAGTGAGACATTTTTCTGAAAGAAAAACCTCAATTCAGGAGGAAAAACCCCAACTCAGCTTATACCTAAAAGTTTATGCCTTTTGCATTAGTAAGATTCAAATTCATATCGTTTTGTTATTTTAAAAACACATACAACAGCAGCCTTTTTGTTCAAGGCATAAATGTGGGCTACTCAGAGAAGGAGGTTACTTAGGGTTGGTGCTCAAGTATTCATCCAATTGGATTACACTGCTAATCAGTAATGAATTTATATCTGTGGAGGTGAGGGTTGATGGGTTTAAGTTATTGATCTATTTCCTGTCTTCATTATTTTCACTGAAAGCTATATTTCCATCTCTTTTCAGTCTGTAAACATTTCGCTGCTGCCCTCTCATCATTTGCTGTCCAGTTTCTGTCCTTTTCCTTATCTCAAGGTGAATGATTGGGTCTGCACAGCAAATTCTTGTCTCCAGGCCTCTGCTGATAATAGTGGTCTTGACTTTTTAAAAAAATTGAAGTCAAGCCAAAGTGGGGTGTTTTTTTCCCCCATATTTTGTCTTTTAGTGGCGTTTACTTCCCTCCCCCTCTTCACCCTCATCCCTGCTGAGGTTCTTGTTTCCCTTACCCAAAGGAATAGTGTTCTTCTTAGTTGACACTCTTAAAAAGGTTAGTTGACACTCTTAAAAAGGTTCTGATTATCTTTCAAATTTTTTTTTGGTAGAGACTGAGTCCTGTTATGTGGCCCAGGCTGGTCTCAAACTTCTGCCCTCAAGCAATCCTCCTGCCTTGGCCTCTCAAAATGCTGGGATTACAGGCGTGAGCCACTGTGCCCAGCCATGATTATCTTGTAATTTCTGCTTGAAGCTGTGAGGTATTTTTATGTGGGGTCTCTGAAAAATAAATACAAATACATGAATACTCCCTGCTTACCAGACAGTGTCAAGCATTTATCTCAAATTAGCTTATTTAATTCTCAAAAGGGTCTTGTGATGTGGGTGTAATCATTATTGCCATTTTACAGGAGAGGAAGCTGAGGTAGAGAGAGAAAACCAATTGCATGAGGTCTCTAAGTGGCTCCAGGTGGCACCAAGATTGGAATCTAAGCTTTCTGGCACCATACTGTGGTCTTAACCACATCACTGTATAGCCTCTCTAAAACTAAAGATCCCTTAAGGAGTTAAATGTGTGCCTCTGGAATGCTTGGATATGGCATTATAGCACAGCATATTGATGGAGAGAGATTTTTGACCCCTGGTATCCTTGAAGTCATATTCTGATTAGGTAAATTTCAGTATTCATAGTACCAATGTGTTTTTTTCTTGATGCTTTAAAAAAAAAAAACTTTTGATATTGTTTTTTTCTTTAGGATTGCTGTCACGTCTAATGTGGCTTCTGTCTCGTGTCACATCTGAAACTCATCTGTACCTCACTTAGAAAGGTAAATATGTCTGTGCCGAACCCTCCAACTCCTGCCCCCCAGCACTCCCACCATCAGTCATGGCTCTGTTCTCATTCTCTCCTCGCATTGCAGCACAAACCAGAGCCCTGGCCTCCTCCACAGGAGAGGGGCTTATGTCCCAGAAGAGACTCTGTGAGAGAATTTACATTTGAGGAACTTCAGGCTTTGAGGGGAAAATAAGGTTGGCGGATTAAGATGTGGTCTTAAATGAAAGCCTGTTTTTCACTCTAAAAAAATCAAGAGGACACGCTAAGAATGATCATTGCTATTTATTTGTCTTAAATTAGAAATCATGGGCATTGTACAGTTGATTTTTACTTATCATGACTTGCTCACTAGAAACTTCTTGTTCTCTTTCTGTTATATTTTAAAAAGGTGTTTTTAAAATGGTTTTATCTTAAGGAAATATTAGGAAAAAAAACTGAGATAGGGTCCACCATTTAGAATCAGATATCCAGAATGTAACATATGTTACAATTCAGAGTCTCTAAACCACTCTTCTAAAATCATAATGTGAGATGATTCTCAGCTTGCCAAATTTTCTAGAGTTATAAAATAGGTTATGTCGCTCAATCCAGTGTTTATTTGAGGGAATTCATGGTTGCCAGGGGCCCATTATATGTCAGAAGCTTTTATTTCTTATTTTCTACCACTCATGTAAAGATTAGGATTTGTTTTAACCGCCTATTTCAAGATAATGATTCCAAATCCCAGCCTTAAATTTCATATCTAACATGGTTGTTGTTTTTCCCTGTCATATACATTAATTCTAGGTTCAAGGCCATGTCACCCTAAAGCAGCCCTCACTTGTTTTGCAGCTGCATTGCTGTTGCTAAACCATAACTATTGGCCTCTCTCCAGACTTTCTTTTTTTCTTTGCAAAATGTCCTTGAAGGTCATAATGGTGTATTTTTTAAAAATTCCAGTTGTCTTTGTAAGTTTTCTTATATCCCATCTTACATTTGATTCCCCCCACAAACCTCCCACTAGATAAACCACTTCTCGCTCTATTCTTTATCGTGAGGCTGACTTCTAGGAAGGCTGTCCACAGCTGCCTCAGGCGGAAGGCTAACTAGGAGAATATTAGGTCGTGTGTTTGGATTCCTGTTCTCCAAACGATTCTAATTAAAACTAGTCCACTACCCCCACCAATATGTTCAGAAGGAAAAAAATGTAGCAAAATCCCCAAACGCCCTCAATCACTTCATTATACCATTTGGGTAACTTTATGGCACCTGTAGGACCAGTTCATGCCAGGCCCATTTGTAACTGTTTTCTCTAGTTAAACATGATATTGCCATTAAAATCTCAGTAAATAGGATTACACTGCTTAAGAATCTAGGAATTTCTCAAATATGTGAGAAAATATGAAAGCACAGGGATAGTAGAAATTTATTTTATAAACACATGCCAGGAGATGGAATTGTGTCATGATGATCCACATTAAAGAGACATGATTGAAGCAAATCCATCATGTATACTCTGACTTTCTATTATATATATATGTTACTCCAAAAAAAGTTATTCATGTTTCCTAGTTGTGAGCTTACCCATCGTGTAAAATCAGCCCTAACACTTTTTATTCACAGGCCACATCTACTTCGTACATGTACTTTGGACTCGGTACCAGTCATTGTGCCTCTAAATATACATGTGTTATGCATAATTGTAGAGCAGCTCTGCAAGATATATAGATATACCCATTTTATGGTGATGGAGACTGAGGCTTAGAGAAGTTATGCAACTTACCTAAGGTTACACACCTTCCAAGTAGCAGAGCCAGCATTCGAACTTAGATCCATCCAACTCCAAAGCCAGTTTCCTGTACACTAGACCACACCGTCTTTCTACCAGCTAGTTGGTTTTTTTAACTAACTGTAGGAACACAACCTAGTATTAAGTAGAGTGTGCATGCCGCATAGTGGACTGAGGTAGAATAAAACTCATTATTGTACTACTTTTAGGTAAGAAAATGTATTATCTAAGGAATATCATTAAAATTTCCTTACTTCCCTCCATGAACAAACAAAAGTTAAAATGAAATCAGTGGTGGGATGAAGGGAGTTGGGGATCATAACATAGGAGTGTTAAACATTAAAATTAGAAAAAAAGTACATTTCTCTATCAATGTTTAAAATGCTAGAAATTATGCAGGCTTATACTATAACAAAGGATACTTTATTTGGGGAATAACTTAATTGATCCATGATGTGGCATTTACCAAGGTAATTTTTCACTTTTTGTTCCAGGAGTAGGAATTAGAGGTGGTTCATAAAACTCACAATCACCATGTAAATTGAAACCACCTTAAGATCATAGTCATCTTATGTTGTTTCCCTAAAATGGTTCTCATTTGCACCACATATTCAAATCAGAGTGCACGAAGATGTTGTTCTGAGTCAGGGAAGATTTAGAATGCTTTGTGAACAGCTGTATACTGAACTTCAGAGTTCAGTTATTGCACTTGTGTGTGTGTGTATGTGTGTCTGCACAGTTGGGTTTTTTGTTTGTTTTGCTATGTGAATTACTGTTTGGCCATTTTAATGTATATAACTGATAAATCCAGGAGGATAATCTGTATGTCTGCTCTCTCAGTTTCTTTCTATAACACAAGCCTGAACATATTGCTCTCTTGATTAAAAACTTTCAGTGGTTCTGATTAGACAAGACTTTTCGTTGCAGTCGACAGAAACCTAAGGGGACCATTGAAGAATTCCAAACAGGCAAGTGACAGGAAAATATCTGCATGTTAGAAGAATCACCTTGGCAGCAGCATTGTGATTAGAATGAAGGGGAACCATCCAAAAACAGAGAGACTGGGGAAGCAATATGGATCTGCCTCTAGCATGCAGAAATCTCTCTCTCCACTGACCTAACTGACACATTGAGCTTGTGGCTTGTTTAAAGGAAGCCACACGAAAATTGAGTTTGGGACAATAGAGTGAGCTTGTTCTCCATTCTCTAGCATCCCTCCCCATGCAAACCCCCTATCCCTGCCAAGTTTCTGGGCACCACAGATTGGAAAGTAGCCTCCTGTACGTAGTTGCCATGTTAAGTGGTGGGGTTGGGGCTGGGCCATGCAGGTGTTCACTGACTGTCTCTTTCTGTCTTCCCTTCTTGGTCTCACCTGTCTGGTGTGACAAAGGAAGCATGTGCCAACCAAGGCTAGACCCTTGAGAGACCAGAGCAGCCCCACTTTCAGTAAAGCAAGCAACCTCTGCTTACTTGCCCAACACACCCTAGTTTCCATGTTCCTTGCCTTATGAGTTATCTTCTTGGGTACAATTTAACACAGCATTCCCACCTCCTTATAACTAAAGTAGATAGAGGGGGCTTTGTGCCTCAATCCCTAGCAGACCATCTTGGCAATCTCTGCCTCTGCGACAGGGCACTTGCTCCCCGAGCAACTCCTTTCCCAGGTCATCTTTCCCCTGGACATGCCCATCAGATTTAATAGTGTGCCTACTTGGCAGGAAAATGGGGTCCCTGGTTGCTGATTCTTAGGAATGTGAGGTTCTCCCAGCCAGAGCTCTCGCCACTAAAAGTTCTAGTCTCTGTGTAATGGCCAGCACATCTTTGGCGTATCTAAAATCCTCTTCAGTTTCCACCAGGGCCTTTATAAGCTTCTTCTGAAGGTCTCAGACATTCAGCCATGGAGCTCAAGTGGAATTTGTTTGGATAACATGACTGATTTCAAAGCCCGGACCCCTTAGACGTGCCCATTTGGTGCTGCAAGTACCGACCATTACTGCAACATCTTACAGTCAACAAATGTGACATATTAAAGATTTATATCCTTTCCTCTGGGTTAGGAATCTTCTCTCCCCTAAAGCACCTCATTTTCCAGCACGCAATCATTTCCATCTTATGGAAATCATCCCTCCCGCTCCGTGCCAGCATGCTACGCTGGGAGGCACGTCCAGGCTTGGGAAACAGGGGTGTCCTGGATCTCATGACTTCAGCAGCACCAGCTGCTCTCTTTCCTCTTCCAAGTCGACTTCCGTTCCCCCCTCCCCCTGCTACTTGGGTGTTTTTGTTTATTTTAGCAATTCAGAGTTGATGATAAAGACCTTAAAGATAACTTTGTGTGTCTCTCCCTTTCTAGGTATTTGCATAGGAATCAGAGGAGTTAATCTTGTGAGTATACTCTAACATCTGCCCTTGTTTCCTTCCTTCCTTCTCTATCTGCCTCAGGGTTTTAAAGCATAAGCCTGCTGCCCTCCCCGCCACCCCACCCCTCTGCCCTAGGTCACCAGAGCCTAAGCAGAGTCCGTGCTCGTCTCTCTAACCGAGCGGTGGCTTTTTTTGAAAACTAGATCAGCTCCAGTTCCAGCAGTTGCAGCTAGTCTATAGCACAGATATGTGCTGTTCTAAGATTCTGCACTTTATTGAGGCACCCCACAAGTCTGCATTTCACCTCAGATCGTCAAGTATGCAAGGAGCATTACTGTTTTCATTCACCATAATGAAAACGGACTCCAGTTCGCATTCTGCCAACCTAGAGGAAATTTCATGTCAGTAAGTTTTAGGTGCTTCCCCTTCCCCCATGGAGTGTGTCCTAGGACCTGGAGATTTTCATGGCCTCTGGAAGATGAGGAACCCACCTCTGACCTTCAGTTTATCAAAGTAGTGATTTATTGAATCCTTGTAGCTGTCTGCCTCAGGGTCGCCAGTGAGGGCTGGAAACCTCCTGCCTCAGCTCTGGCCTCCCGAGGCACACTCTTCACGTAGCTGTCTTCTCAAGGATTCTACTCATTGCCTTAGGGAACAGAGGGGTGCAAGGGCCTCTCTTGCTGGGGGCTGACATATCTCCTTATCAGGCCCTGGGATGGGGGGGTTGGCCATGGGGAGATGGTAGGGAGAGTGTCATTTTGGCAGCTTCTCCTCTGCTTTTCCTTCTCCCCTCCCAGAAGTCCAGCAGAATTTCTTCTCTAGGTTTAGATATTGTTAACAAAGACAGACTTCTTCAGGATGCTTCTGTCTTCAGCTGGATGAAAATACAAGGGATTACAAAGGCTGCCACCTGTTTTAAATGAGCTAGAAAGGAAAATCACTGGGAATTCAAACAAAGTAAAATTCCAAAGTTGTCGTGCTATCCCAATTTGGAGGCCCTAATAAAGGCAAAACATCACTCGAACAGTAGGTAGCTATGGGAATTAAGAGAAGGAAACAGATTTGAGAGACAATAAGGTTGTAAAGCTTAATCTCTGAGAACAATCTAGACTGCAGAGCTTCTAAGTTTGGAGAGGCTGGAAAGTGACATGGGAAGAGGTAGACTTTTGACATGCACCCTGGATTCACAGCCCAGCTTAACTGCTTGCTGGCTGTAGGATCATGGGCAAATCAGCACAACTTCTAAGACTTAGTTTCCCCATTAGTCAAATAGGGTTAATGCTACTTACTCATGTGGTTGTTAAGGGTATTAAGTAAAGTTCGTAAAACAGTAGCCATCACCTGGTGAGGATCCGGGAGCCCTGATGGCTATTGCATAACGGTGCCATTAGAACAGGCAGTGCTGGAGGAGGAGCAAGTCTGCGGGTTAACGTTTGAAGCCCACCATGTGACCTTGAAGGGGCACTGCAAGGTATCCAAGAGTTGCAGGAGGGAGGTAGATGTATTAGTCTGGAATTTGAAAGAAAGTTCGGGATTGAAGATAGAGATTTGGGAGGCTTCTGACTTCAAGGAGTAATGGTAACCTTGGGTTATGCATGGGGTCCCCCAGGGAGATCGTGTATAATGGGAGAAGGTAGAAGACCAGCTGCCAGGTCCACAAATCTGTTCCAACGTCGAGTGACCCCTTAATACCATGCCCCTCAGTGTCACCTTTAAAATGACATCATTGCTTGGAGGTGAATCTGAATATCCCACTCAGGGTCTTCATTTCAAAGATATAGTCTCATTGTTCACCATGATCCATCTTGCTGAAATAAAATTTAGTTGTCTGTAATCCACCAAACCGGGTGGGCTCCTTTCCATCTGGAAACTAAAACACATTCGAGAGACTTTACAAAAACAAACCTTGTACATGGTCAGTCTAGAGGATTCTTTCACTGAGAACCAGGGCAGACTTCCCAGTGTTTGAGGGTTGCCCAATTCTTTCCCACTCAAATCATTAGAAATAAAAAAGTCAGTTTGGAGAATTTGCTTAAGTAAAATCAGGAGTCGCTAGAAGTGAATGAGCTGAAACTGGAAGGAAATCCCTTTGTTCAATGTGGGTTTCAGTGAATGCCCAGCAGGCGGCTAAACCAGTTCATTAAGAGAGAAAAAGACATGTTCTTAAATGCTGTTCTCAGAAGCAAATGCCTAGAAAAACATACTGTGACAGCAAAAACACATCCTGGAACTCATAAACCCTAGATCTGTGAAACTTTGGTTTTTGTCATCAACGAATAAATAAACTTACCAAAAAATATTTCCCCCTTCATTTAAAACAATTAACTAATCTGTTTAGCATCTGCCAGTCTTCACTCCTAGAAAAATGTGATTCTTGTTACTCTGGAACTCGGAAACATTTATCTGTAGGATTGTTTAATTTTATAGGGTCATTTTTAACCACATACTTAAAAAAGAATAATTGACGTTATGAAAACCCTTTTTTCCCTCTGCTTTAGAAATTAAATTCTGACCTGAAAAGCAGTCTGCAAGTAGCATCCTGTCAAACTAAGATGTGTTATTTTTCCTGTCTCTTCTCTGCTTTATTAAATCGTCATATACTGCACATGATTTTCCCCCCAGGTCGGGCCTGCCTCGGGCTCTCTGTTGTATTGTTAACTATTTAAGCATTAGACTGGCGCAGAGATGGCAGGTGGGAAAAGCTGAGGGACTTGATCTCCTCCCTGCCAGAGTTCTCCTCTTTCACGAGTGCTGCTTACATTGAACAGCTTAAGAATAAGCTGCTGTGTGAGCCCTCGGAGGCCAAGGAGTATTGTTGAATTCAGAAAGGAATCGCTTTCTTTTTGTGATAATTTGAATATTCTCACAATGAAGCTAAGCTACTTCACTGCCTGGTTTGCGTACCTCACGTTATGTGCACCCTTTCCTGGGAAGCAGAAGAACCCCTGCCTCTTTGAATACATAAATTGGTATTGTTCGTTTGTGACATGGGTAGGCGCAAAGGAAGAATCATCTGGAAGAATTTTACTCTTTTGCTTTAATGTCTTTTTAAAGCTCTTTCAAAAAAATTTTTATACAAGCCTTTGGAGACCACCCAATTAAACCACCACAATAAATGTTGAGCATTTTGAGAAAAGAGATGGACCATGAAGATGATTTGTAAAGTGTTTATACAAGCAAAACAAGGAATACGTTGGAAACAATTTCCCTAAATGACTCAGACAAATAACCTGCTCACCTCCAGTTTTTTCCTGTATTGTGATGCATTATTTTTAAAACAGTTGTCCAAAAATGGCCTTGATTTTTCCCTTTTTAACTTCAAAGGATGTTATCATACAAAATAAATGGACATAGCCTTTTTGATCAAATTCACAGAAGAAAATAGGCAAGTGAATAAATCACTTAGGTGAGATATTAATTGGCTTCGTTCCATAACAGATTTGCCTTTGTACTAGTTAAGAAAATCCTGAAAAGCTTTCCTGTAAGAGGAGCAATTGATTGGAATAGTCTTGGTAGGAAGAAACCAAGCTTGATAATTACTTGGTGAACAGAAATGCTGGTTTCCAAATGCTCATCAGGGTTCAGTGGCACAAAGCTGGCTGTAGACTTGGCTTCTGTAGATTTGGTAAAAACATAAATTCTTGGGGTCCCAGTGATGCTGTTTTAGTCTGCACTGATTTGCCCTGTGGCCACCCAGGAATCTGTATTTTTAAAAGTTTTCCTTGCTGATTCTAATGCATAGCCAGGTTTAGTAACCATTTAATTAAATATTCAATGTGGAGACTTCAACCTTCTTGCACTGCAAATTTGATAAATCTTTATTTATATGAAGCCCCTTTGTTGAGTGCCAACTGGTTATTTGCTGACTTTCTTTCAATTCAGAATTTGTTTTAGGTTCTGTTATTGCATAGATTTGCATACCTGTTTTATGGTATTTTAATACTGTTGGTTTAAAAAAATACCATTTCCTCTGAGTGCTCTTTTGAATATTTTATGTAAGCAATTTCATGTGTTCTTTTTGTTCCACTTGCAGAAAGCAGGGGAAAAGTTGAGAGTTTTTCTTAATCCAGTTGCAAGTAGGACAAAGGATATAAGTACTTAAAGATCATCTATTAAAATGCATGAAAACACACTAGAAAATCTCCTCTGCACGTCGCCAGTCGTGTGTATGCTCTAGAAGTGAAGCTCGGGGGTAGCATAATGGAGGAATGTTTTCCTAGCTTCATTCCCTGACGATGTACAAGGTCTTTTCTCACAGGTTTGAATCTTCAGACAAACTTCTGGGAGGACTCAGTCCCTGCCTCGCAGCAGATGTTTCCTGTCACTCAGTAGGTGCGCATGTTTTAAGATTATTTCTAGTTGGGCATGTTTATTAATGATTGCTTGGAAACACATCATAGGCAAGAACATGCTGGAGGTTCAGGGTACTTCAAAAAGGTTCTAGTAGAAAATAAACACATTTCCTCCACAAACTGCAAAATACCCGAGAACAGGGTTCTTTTAGCCCTTTCATTTTTTTAAAGCTCAGTGCACATGCGTTTCAGGGAATTTGATGATGCAGTTAGCAACTTTTCATTACCTCTGCTGTCCCACATCCACAGCCTAGTAATACACATAGATCTATGGAATTTTCTGCTGACAACCCCGTCAGTTCAAAAGAAGAAAGCTGCCCCTGCCAACACTCCTAACTTGTATACATAGGATTTGTAAGAGGTTGTCCTCTCTTTGTGGCAGATGTAGACTGAAAGATAAGCCTGGGAAAGATGCTGGTCACATCCCAGCCACACGAGGCAATCCAGTCATACTTCCTGAGGCTTTATTTGAAAACACTGTTGTAAAAGCTGTTGCTGAACTTCACTGCTCATGTAGACAGCGTGGCTAGAAGGGATGGCAAAGCATAAGTTGAAAGAGCACTTGGCTTAGTTCAGAACACCTGAGAGCAACCTCTGTTCATCATCATTATCATCCAATAATGATATTAATGGAAGCTAATGCCTTTGGGGCACTCACTCTGTGCTAGGCGCTTTGCTTGGGATAGTGTATTACTTGCAGTATCTCATTAGTCCATGCTTATGGGCAGTAAACTTAAATCCTCTGAGCCTCAGTTTCCTCATTTGTCAAATGGGGACAATGATGCTTTTCTACCTATCTCTTAGGGCTGTGAGATGGGAATTATTAGAATAGCATGAGAAAGCTTTATGAGCTCAACTGAAACAGTTTATTAAATAGTATTCTGACTCCTACTGAAATACAATATTGTCACTAAATATTTTGATTTATTGACCAAGAAATTGAAATTAATCCCAACAGGGCCAACATATCTACTAGGACCTGAGAGAGGCACTAGCAGTTCTAGTTAGGGCTGGGAGTTGGGGTGAAGTGGGGGAGAGTCTTGACTGTATCTTCTGTTTACAGTGCGCCTGACATTAGAAGACTAGGAGTGCTAGCCAGGAAGATCCTGGAATGTGTCTGCCCAGTATTCAGTGGCGAGTCCATGGGCTGCGAACAGGTGGGGGGTGGCTAACACAGCAGGCCTTGTCTGTCTCAGGAGCTGAAGGGGGCCAGCCAAAGCAGGGTGGACAGTATGATTGCAAGGCAAGCAGGGGAGGAAGAGCCACTTGAGACACTGCTCTCGGCTGCTGGGGAGGAGCTACGAGCAGGCAGCGGTGGGAAATTGAGGCTTATTGTGAGCAAGGTGCTGGCCTCCAGGGTGACGGGGAGCGCAGAGCAGCACATGAAAGCCGCCTGCGGATGAGCCGGAAGATGGACCACACATGTGGATTGCAAGGACAGCTACTCAGAGAGTTCACATTCCTCCCCCAGTGAACTGGGTATGATTGTAATGGTTTGTTAAACAAACAAAGGACCTAAAGCTGTGAATGGGAGAGAAAAAAGACTTAAGGTGAAAAGGAGAAGAGGCCCTGCTTGCTAGTGTTCCACTCTTTTTAAGCTTTCTCCCCCATTTCCTTAACATTCCTTTCCCCTTTCAGAAAAGCCAGTGTTGTCGCTTGGAAAACTTGCCTTGTCCCTTCAGTGCCATTTTCTTTTAAAATGGAAACCCGATGAAATGTTAATCAGTTTAAAAAGAAAAAATCAAGAACCAGGATAATCTTAAAGGACTAGTGATAAATATTTTTATTTCTCAAATTAAGTATTCCTGGATGAACAATTTGCTTTGCATCCTTTGAATTTATTGGACATGACATGGAAAGGCAAAGAGAAAATTCTCAAGCTTCTGGCAATAATTGTGTCTAATAAAATATGGCCTGTGTCCCGAGAGGCAGACGGGCATGCTTCTGGAGGAAGCGGAGTGAGCTTTGGAACAGGTGCAGCAGCTTCACTTTTCTCACATAACCATGCATGTACACAGTTTACTATAAGTTCTGGATAGTTCTACATCGAGCTTGAAAAAAATACTGCATGTTACTTTAAAACTGTCCATCACATTTGTGTCTAGGGTAATCCGATTTGGTCTTGGGTTCATCTCATGTAAAAAGAACCAGTTAGCATTTCAGAATAGTACCTTTCAATCTGCTGTTCTCTCCAGGTAACTGAATTACCATGTGGGAAGGATAAGTGATTATATGTAACATTTTCCTCTCTGCAATTCATCTGTAGATGGGACATCCTCACTTTCACTGGCTCCCAGTTCCCTATAGGATAAACCCAATGTCCCCTGCCAGGTGCGCTATCCCTGTTATTGGTTTTCTGACACGGGCCCTTCTCCTGTTGATCCCAGCCAGTCTGCACCACATGTTCCACAATGCCCCATACTGCTCCTGACTCCGAGCTCTTCTTCTCTATTCTCCCCTCTGCATCTGCAATATACCTCCTCCCTGGTATACTCCTAGACTCAGCCTAAATAGTCATTATCAAACTTTAGAAAGTGCAGATATTCAAAAAATAAAAATAAAAAATGAGGTCATCTATAATTCCACTGTCAAGATGCCCTGCTGCCATGTAGTTATCTGCACTTCAAGGCCTTTTTCTGTGTATTTAGTGATATGTTATTTTAGGATCAAACAGTCCACCCAAGTCTTGAGCATCCTTTCTAGATCTCAGATCCTTCAAGGTCATTCAGGTCATTTTAACGCACAAACCGGGCATCCCATGGTCAATGTAACTAATATGCTTTTCACATTTCTCTTCTCAATGTGAGCCTATATTTTCACATACTTCCTGAGAAAGAAACAGGCTTTTCTTTCCTTTGAATGGTAACCTTATTGGAAAAATAATAGGTCCTGCTGCTAATTAGAGCTGCAGTTCCTCCATGTCCTATACTTAGAGTCCCAGGAAAAGAGATCACCGCCATCAGCGATAGAAGTAGACTAGACCCTAAAAGGGCCTAAAGGTGAGACTCAAGGGTTTCTAGGGAGGGAGGAGGGGGATATATTTTCAGCTGTCATAAAGGAATGATCCCCGTTCCTGACTATAATGATTAGAAAATCTTCCCCTAATACCAAAGGCTCTTGTCTGGATTTTGGGACTTGCTCTCCACCCCTCACCCCCCACCAGGCTACTGAGAGTCTTCTTTAATAAATAGTCCTCTTCAAACAAGGCAGTCCCATCTCAGCTTGAGAACCAGGCCTGGGCTTAACCCTTGCCTTTCTCAATGCACACATCTATTTTACTTACTTGTAGACATTTGTCTATTTTGTTGTTTTTTTTTTTGTGAATGTTTCTATTTAAAAATACAATGCATATGGTAGGGAGAGGTGAGGAGGCGTGTTAAAGATCCAAGAGTCTGCAACAGTATTTCTTTTCCTCTTTTCCCCCTGGTGGGTACTATACTGGATGACCCATCTGTAAGAAGGCCTTTGGCCCTTTTATGGGGATCCTGGCTGTCCCAGCCCCTTGCTTCCATGCTGTACGGATGAGGAAGGCCAGTGGTGGAAGTGGCCCCAGATCTGTGAGAGATGAAGCACTTCTGTGGTGTCAGATTCCAGCTCCCTGCTCATCGGAGTCATCCCTTCCCTCTTGAACGTTTTATTGGCATCCTCTACCTACCTCTACCACCTCACTCCATCTCCATGTAGATGCAGTCAGGGGCTAGCCTTAAAAATCATCCCCTCTCCTTTCATGTTTTTTGGTGTAATGATACATATTTTAACCATTTCGTCAATGAATGTTAGTCACTGGATTATATTAGCTGAGTTATAACAGGTTGCTTCATGGTGTTGACTCTCAGATGCTCTCTGGGTTCTCAAGTGTTCTCCTTGAAAGTTTGACTCAAATGCCTGTCCCAGCCCCTGGGGTCTTGCACTGCCACTGCCTTTTTGTTGGTGGTGTTCTCTTTAAAAAATAATATCCTGCTCTTCTTTTAAGGACCTCTGTTCTCTCTAGGATATTCATGATTCTTTTTTTGAAGTTTCCTTCCCTCCATAGTCTTTTTTTCCCCGTTAGTTTTTGTGTCCGCTTTCCCTATTAAGTGCCTTCCTCTGATTTCTGGTGATTCTTGGCCTACTAATTTGTGAGTCGAACCAGTAAAGAGCTGATGGGAGCTTTGTATACTTAGGTGGGGCTTGTCAGCTGGAGCCTTGTATAGGGTAAGGTGGCGACCCCTGGAGGAACCCCCTTTGTCCTCATGGTTTGCTCTTTTCTCTTGGGCTCGTCGGCTTCCCAGGGAAGACTCCTCCATCCTCCTGGCCTGAGAGAGGGGACATTCACCCTGTGTCAGAATACTCCCCCACTTTCATACACTCTCCATAGCGAGCACTTGTGCTAGGGGAAGGAAGGGCAGGTGCCCCACTGCAGGCACCAGGAGAGGTCAGGAGGGCTCAGTGCTTCACTAACAGACTTTCACCTGCTGCTTTCCTACCTGTTTCCATCCTCACTTCCAGAAGTACTTACTGTACCAAATTGCGGAGACGTATGGTAGATGCTGCAGGGTATAGCAGGTTGTTTTGTTGCCTCTTATTGCTGGCTTAAAGTTTAGCTTTCTTAGGATGACCAAGTTGATCACTGTTTGTTTACCTGCTTTTCAGCTTCCAAAATTTGTTGTTTTCCCCCTTTTATATTAGGCTGTGTTTTAGAAAAATCCCACCATCACTGTTTTAGTAGAATTTTTGGAGAGACCAGAGCTACATGCTTTTATTCAATTGGCCATCTTTAACTAGATATTACACTATTTGTAAACAGAACACACCCTGTCCCTTTTCAGATGTTCTGGCTAGGATGTGGATTTGATGTTCCAAAGCTGTAGCATCATCATCTGGACAGCTTTCTCAATTTTCTCCCTGAATACTGAAGAAATAATTCACTTTGTCTTTCTTGTTTATCTTAAGCCTCATTTCTTAGAAAGTAAGAGCTTAGTCACTGGATTAACAAAATTCAGTGTCTCAAGGTGACAGCTGAAAAGAACCTATAGGCAACAAGCCTGATGGCTCAGCAGGTGGCTCTCTCAGAGAGAATAGAAGGGCAGGTGGTGTCTCCTACAATGAGGATAAGCTAGAATGAAAGCTCTTCAAACACAGTAAGGTGGAGATCTCTACTGGGCCTCACTGTGTGGAGGAGGAACTCATGCCTCTGCCTGGGAGTGACAGAGAAAAGTAGAAATTTGCCAGGTAGACAAGGGTTCCCAGGACATTCCAGGAGGGAGAAAGCCAGAAGCATGAGAGAAAGTAGCACTAGAAGGAAACAGCAAGTAGATTGATCTTTGGCCTTGCCTTTAGGCCATGATGGGAGTGAGGTCTGCAGACATGGCAGCCATGACTACCTGGAGGTTCTGGACATCATCTTTCTACTGATGACATTTCTAAATAGCTTTTTAAAAATTTGATAGAGACTGCTACCAAAGTCCTTCAAAGAACTGATATTGAGAAAAACAACTGTGTTGGAAGACCAAAAGTGGAAATTCAATTTCCTCTCAGAAATGGGTCTTGCATTGATTGTGTCAGTGGGGACAATAGAAATAGAAGCCAGAAGTCACAGTTTATTTTAAGAATGTTGTAAAGCAGTTGTGCCCCATTAGATGATTGTGTTATGTAGCATTGGGGAAGTCCTGGAACTACATGTGTGTTCTGACTTCCCCCTCCACCCTCGTATACCCCTGTCCCCTGGGAACACAGTCTTTCCTGGCTGTTACCATATATATATGTTCTTCTTCCAGTCTGATCCTCTCTCATCCCCAAAATAATCAACATGAGCACAACGAAGCAGATGGCACAAGCCTTCTTTGGCATACTGGCAGATCTGTATCACTCACTCAGTATTTTTAGAATCAAGGGGACTGAAAATTATGTCCTGAGACGTTTTGGGGTAAGACTTACTATCTGCTCTGTCAGTTCTGTTAGGATCGATGGTGGTCTGCCAGATAATAGAAAGCTGTCCTAAGTTGTTTTAAGGATGTGGCCAGAAAGTGCATCGGGTTTCAACCAAAGATTGGGCTCATCAGTAAACAGCCAGAGCCGATCAAGTGCATGGTGATGAGAGATGTTGTATATATCCACACAGTTTTTTTTTTTTTAATAACTAAGCTTTGACCCTCAGCCACAAAGAGTTTATAATCTGTTGGGGAAGACAGTCTTATTTTTACAGAAGTTTATTATTATATCATGAAAACAAATATTTATTTTATTCTAAGGCCCATATTGAAGAAATACATAGTTATAGTGATTAAAAATTACTATGAATTTGAGTTCATTAAGGACTCTCTGAAGAAATTAAAGAATGTTCACTATCACATAACTAATTTAGTTCTGAGGACCAACTTTGCACTTAGTGTTAGGCTAGGTATATTAAACACACGAATCTGGAACTCAAGATAAAGCCTTGGGAAAAGATATTCATGAAATAAGCATAAAAACGAGAGGCTTTGTGTTTTAGTCTTTGAGGGAAATGTTTTGGTCTTTGAGGGAAACTTGAAGTTGGAGGAAATGTGTCTCATCTTTAAATAAACCATGGCCATGTCTAACGCTCAGACTGTCCCCTTCATCTTTGAGGGCTCAGGGGAAATGCATGCATGGGTGATGTCCATGACTGCTGGCATTTTGAATCTAGAGAAGAAGTGGCTGGAAAGAGATCTGGAAAACCTCGTTCAGTGCCAAAGGGCAAGTTTTTCAATTGAATAAGCTTTATTTTTTTCTTTGTACTCCTAGTGCGTTTGGTAAGCAATTAGTCAAGGTTTACATCTGCTGAGAAAGAATGCCGGCGTTTTACTTGCCACCTCTTGTGTCCTTTCTGCACATGTGTTGTCCAAACTGCCGCTTCTTTCGGTACAATTGATACAGTATAGTATCCATAGGGAGAGAATGTGTCTCTTTCCGGTTACATCCATAGCTACATGGTTAGAACGTGAGCTGTACATTGACACGTGGTTCTACAGTACTTTTAATCCCAGTGTTTCATAAATACTGTATATTTGTAGGGTGTTCATTTAGATTACAGTGTGCTTTCAGATCCATTTTGTTTCAGTCAATTGTCCCAGCAGCCTGTTTACATACATCAGGTAACTATCACAATTGAGGAAACCGAAACTCAGGACACAGATAACATGGATAAGCTGGAATTTGAACTGGGGAATCTTTCCACTGGATTCACAGAACAAGTGGCTGGATTTACAGCTTCAAGGTAAACACCTGAGGCTGAATCAGTAGCACAGTTGTGTGCAAGGAAAACACAGCCTTGCCTTCATCTCCTTTCATGGGGATACCAAGAGTCTGCCTGTGCCATCCAGTACAGGAGCCACTGGCTCTATGTAGCAATTTAAATTAAAGTTAAAGTAAAAAATTCAGTTTCTCAGAGGCACATTTTGAGTGTTCTGTAGCCATCACATCTGTAACATTTCCAATATTGCAGAAAGTTCTGTTGGACATACTGGTCATCTCACAAAGCAAGAGTTGGGGAGAATCAGCTTACTGAGATAAGTTGGAAAAAGTATATATGCAGGGCCTTAAGTAGGTGAGAGAAATACAAAACCTTCCCCAACAAACCAGCTCCTTCTCTGAAGGGGCGAGTGGGATGAAGGCTATTTTGAGTTCAGCTATAAAGGTGAGGAGAAAAAGATGCATTTTCAAACTTCATACTCTGTGTGTGTTAGTCTTTTTTAATAAAAAAGAACACAGAGCAATTCCAAGTGAATGAGTGTGTTTTATAGCTGGGCCGGTATTATGGCCAGACTTAGGCTGGATGAGAAGTAGAACAGATCATGATACCTAGCAGAGCAAACTCGGCAGGCGGAATAGAATTCCTAGAAGGAGTTATTTTGTTTGTGACCAGGGCTGTTGAAGATTCCTCAAGGTAGGGCCTTAGGCATGAACTAGAATACTGGAAGGGAACCAAGGGTTGGGGGAAAGGGGTTTGGACAGAGCCAAGACAGGTAGTTAGTTAAAGTCACACATAATTGCAGAGGTTGTGCGTGCTGCTAGAATCAAAGCCATCAGAAAGAAGGCGTGGTGCCAGGGTGCTGGCCGAGGATGCCTGTGTGTCCCCTGGTTTGGATTAGTGCTGACCAAAGGTGCCTAAGTCAGCTTTCAAGTTTCCAAGTGGGTGGGGCAGGATGGTGAGGGGCATTTGCTTGGCACTGTGAACTCTGTCCAGACACTGAAAACATCTACAACAGAAGATGAGGAACTCTACAAGTTTCCTGGAATTTTTGCTGGTTAGAAAAGGAGTATGTGTTTGGTTATGCCTGTGTACTACGTAATACTATATTTAAACATGCTTAAACTGTTATTGCAATAAAGTTTCATCTAGTTAGACTCATACTTTCTGATCTGAAAGTAACCAAAAAGGTAAGTAAAAATTAACTTTTAACAATAAAGAGCAACTCTAGAGACATGGCAATAAATGACTGCAAGGAGCAGGGAGGGTTTTAAAGACTCACTGCAATTGGTCAGCTTACCATGAGTGCTCTGCTTACTGGCAAAGTTCAGCAAATGCTGGCCTGTGGACAAAAGCTACTCAAGTGTACTTCACCTAAGCATACAGTACTCTTAATTTTTTTAAGTATTGGCACTTGAAAGGTGAGCATTTACCCACCTGAGAATCTCTCTCTAGAATAGCACAGGGTGATAGTGATCCAGGGCCTTACACTGGCAGGTAGTGGCAGGTAGAGGCCAATTTGAAACCTGCTGTCAGAGTCCAGGGATGAAATGTAGGGGGCTAGTCCAGGTCCTGAGAGTGCAGCTAGGAGGAGACATCTCCAAGTGTAAGTTTTTGGAACAGTTTCTCAGCTCGGCTGGAAAGCCACCCTAGTAAGTGAAGTATTGTTCATGATGTAGCCTCAGACACTTCAGGTTCCTCCAATGATGGCCAATTGGTAGAAAAAGAACATGGTTTTTGGTGACTGTGGCTGAGTCAGAAGGGTGATAATGATTTGGGTTTGAGACAAGTTGGGTTTGAGGAGGCAGTAGGCCCACCTCCTGGAAGTGGCCTACCAGCAGGTAGCTGGATGGGCCCTCCAGGGTAGGGCCAGGGAATGAAGAAAGGTCCATAAACAAAAGAGGAAGAGATTAGTAGAACTTACTAGAGGATGGTGCCTACAAATCTGAATGTGGCCTGAGCTGGTTCCTGAGCTATCAGCTTTGTGCCACCACATCAGTGCAACCAGACAGACTAGACTAGCTTTATGCACATTCTGTTTATATCAGCCCTTCTGCAGAGTAATCTTACAAACAAATTAACTTAGGTGTATACAAATTATTTCTTATCCTCTGGAAGTTTAAACAGGTGTGATAAGCAACTAATGTTATGCCAACAATGAGTGACGAGGAAGAGCCCATGGTTTGAATAAGCGTGGGTGATTTTTGTTTATGGACCAGTAAAAAGACTTGAACACATTGAGGGAGGTTTTTGTTGTTGTTGTTGTTGTTGTCGTTGTTTTCCTCTTTGGTCAACTGAGCTTCACAGTGACCTGAAATAGACAATACTGGATCTGTGGAAAGAACTGTCCTTATGAGAGGAAAAGTGTGCTCCACTGGCCATCAGTGCTTGACTCCTCACACTCTCAGAAGCCAGATGTGTAGATTTATATGCAGACGGCCCTCTCGCAGGGAGAATTATGTTCCATGAGCACCATTTAAAGGAACGTGGTGATTGTGGGTAGTTGATTCTGAAGCGGTCAGGGAGGAAAAGCATTGTTTTCAAATGGCTAATGCAAGAAAACTGTTCCTCTTCTCTCCACAGCCAATCCGGGGACCCAGGACATGCCCCAGCTATAGTGATGCAGATTACCTTTCTGCTCCTGAATCGCACCTGTGCCTCAGACTTTCTCCCCCCAGCTTGAGACTGCATGTAAACTGGGATGTGTGAAAGCAGGAAGCAAAGCTAGTGACAGCTGAGAGGCCCATGTCTGGGTAGAACCAGGCCCACGATGCTGCCTTTCCCGTGGTCTGGAGTTCAGCTGCAGGGACTCTGCTGATGTGCCCAGCACCATCCTTCTGTTTGTGCTTAAATGGCACAGCATTTGGTCAGCACATCTGAAAAGGAAGGTGTGAGAAGCAAAGCCCATGGCCACGTTCCCCTGCCAATTATGTGGCAAGACGTTCCTCACCCTGGAGAAGTTCACGATTCACAATTATTCCCACTCCAGGGAGCGGCCATACAAGTGCGTGCAGCCTGACTGTGGCAAAGCGTTTGTTTCCAGATATAAATTGATGAGGTGAGAGGCTTTAGCAAAGGTATGCACTTTTAGAAGTATGTTTAAATGGCTTTTCTAGCCCTCAGAGCACACGATGCAAGGGGAAAGGGACACAGGATCCGGATGCATTTTAGCCTTTGAGGGATTCTTTAAATCTGCATCCAGTGATTCCTGTGGTTTTATGTGACAGTCTTGTTACGTAGCGTCAGTTCATTCTTTCAATAGAGATTTCTTATGCACCTACAATATACCAGGCCTCTCCCCATGGCTGGAGAAATAGGACAACGCAATTAAAACACAACCTCACTGCTCTGACAGAGCTATACAGGTGGAAGAAGTTGTTCTTCACTGCCTGATGAAACCTGGGAAGGCTTCTCAGATGGGGACAATCTTTAAGCTGTGACACAATGAAAGAGGAGGAGGCAGAGAGGATGTTCTGGGAAAGCCGTAAGTCTTGGCCTTAAAGCACCCATGTTCAGAGGGTACTACCCGCGGAGGAGCAGATGAGGCTAAAAGTGCAGGCAGGAAGGAAGCCACATATAGCAGGCCTTACCTCTGTCTGAGAGGGTTTGTCTCATTCAAGTGTGTAAGTAGTGAAGTAATATGATTTGTTTAGTATCCTAGAAAGAGGACTCTGATAATAATTTGAAGAAGTGGCAGGTAGGCTGATTTGAAACCTGCTCTCAGAGTCCAGGGATGAAATGTAGGGAGCTGGTCCGGGTCCTGAGAGTGAAGCTAGGAGGAGACATCTCCAAGTTTAAATGTTTAGAACACAGTTTCTCAGCTTGGGTAGAAAGCCACCCTAGTAAGTGGAGTTCAGGTGGTATGCAGATGAGGAGCATGTGCATCTAATCAAAGTTTTAAAGGCATCCATGATACACCAAGGATAAAAAGCACTGTTTTAGCGGACGAGTCTTTAAAAAAAAAAATCACATTTAATCTAAGTTATTTATTGAATGCCTGTTAGGTACCTACTTCCATGAGGGATATGAATACATTTGATGTAGTTTCTGCCCCCAGAGGATCTTTTTAATATCACAGGAAGGCTCCGTGTACATGCAGTGGCTGTGCTGCACAGTACCGGAACTGGTAATGAGCATGGTGTGTGTTGTGTCTGTGCACTCAGAGCCACACACATACCACGCCCACTCATACGCGCTGCTTTTGATACTTGGTTAAGGAAAATGCACCATTTGCCCTTAATTTCATGAAATAAACTTTGAAGTTTCAACTTTGACTGTTCACATACAAACGCCTGGAGAGAGCCAGGCTTTAGCAAGTGAGACTTTGCATCTGACTGGTACTACCATAGACATTATGAAATCTTGGAGTGACCCTGGAGGAAGGCACTTGAAAGAATGAAAAGATGGAAATTATGCTCCTGGCCCTTAAGAATACCACTGTTATACATAATGTAATGTAATAAGTTGGTTTTAAAAGTTAGCCTGCAAATGCTTACGTATTTTAAAATTCAAATGTCTTCTGTACATGGGCCCCCCTCTAGCTGTCACGAGCAGAAGTACTGAGTGCCGATCATGTGCATGATTTTGTTGCAGAGGCTCCCTGTTTTGCATGAAGCTTCTTGCGTGTGCGTAGGGTAAGGGTCCTTATCCAAACATGAGAGCAGCGCTGGCTGTAGCTGAGTCACAGTGAGGACACTAAAACTGTAGATAAAGACTGAGACACATACAAGAGACCAATGTTTAGAAAAGAAGCATTAGTGGGGTAGAACTATTGGAATTACAGTTGACCCTTGAACAACGTGAGTTTGAGCTGCGCAGGTCCACTTATACACAAATATTTTTCAACCAAATGCAGATTGGAAGTACAGTATTTGCAGGGTGTGAAACCTGTGTATACTGAAGGCTGACTTTTCATACACACGTGGTCCACAGGGTGGACCCCAGGACTTGAGTATACGTGTATTTGGGTATGACAGGTAGAATCAGTATCCTGCATGTTCCGAGAAATAATTTACTATGGTAAACTGCACTGAAAAAGAAGTCTTAAGTCATGTTTAGAAGGTAGTTGTTCTGAGCAAGGAAAATGGCTTGTTCAGTTAAGGGCGTAAAGAGAGGCAAAAAGGGGAGCTGTCAGTGTACTTTATGTACGAACTGCCTTCCCTACCTCAGCCCCCAGCATGTCTTGCCTCTCTTGCCTGAAGCAGTGATATAATAAAGGACTGGAAGAGTGTGAGATGGCAGGATGCTTTCGGTTTTGCTTTTAAAAAAAGGATGATACCTGTAATCCCAGTACTTTGGGAGACCGAGGTGGGTGGATTATGAGGTCAACAGATAGAGACCATCCTGGTCAACATGGTGAAACCCTGTCTCTACTAAAAATATAAAAAATTAGCTGGGCGTGGTGGTGCACGCCTGTAGTCCCGACTACTTGGGAGGCTGAGGCAGGAGGATCACTTAAACCTGGGAGGCGGAGGTTGCAGTGAGCTGACATCGAGCCACTGCACTTTCCGGCCTGATGACAGGGCGAGACTCCATCTCAAAAAAAAGAAAAAAAGATGGGGCAACAGAGGTTGAAGGAAAAAATAACTGACTTGATTAACCAGAAAACATAATGTGGGTTCCAGTGCAGCAAATAATGAAACCAGTTAGAGACAGCAACAGGCAAGAAAAGATGATTTGGCAAGGTTGGAGGTCCTAATGTGAGCAATCAACCTCTAAATAATTCTAAGATCACTGATATGATCCAGATGATACCCAAGTATGGTGGCATTGGGTACTGACTCTAGGACATACTAAAGCTGTTTTCATGGGTTATAAGGTAAGATGAAAAACTGAGGGAAAGAAACAAGTCGTTGAAGTAATTTCAGCTACAGGATGAGAATGTTCTAGATCAGGATTGTTGCATAAGTAAGTAAGGGATAAATTAAAAGGGAAAGAAGTAGATGCCAGGCAAGGGAAAGAGTCAAGAAATTCAGAAGTGTGGGAGCTAGTGAAGTTTGGAAGGCAGTGGTCTTGTTCAAGTACTACTGGGGTGTCAGCTTGCACCCCACTTACAGGTAGTACAGGTGCAGGACAGGAAAGAGTGGGTAGGAGATAACCAGGTGAAGTCATTAACCTGGTATTGATCTACCCATGGGTGATAAATGAAATCAAATCAAATGAAAATCCTCTATAATGAAAGAAAAGAGAGAGGTACAAACTGACTCGAGAGCTGTGGGTCACCAGTACTGGGCCAAGAAAAAAAAAAAAAAAGGTTTAAATACCAAGTGTGTAAGCCAGCCCCACTTCATATTTATTCCTGCGATATATATATACATATAGATATCTTGTAGAACAACATGGCTATTTGCCCTCTAACATGCTCTAAAAACCCTTTCTCCAACCTGTGCATTTATTTAGATAGACCTAGAACGTGGAGACACTAGCACAATCTGATTTCTCAGATGCCCATAGTGTTGGTTCCTGTCCCTGCCTTACAGTACCCACCATGTTATCATTTATGTGCAAACCAGCCGTGGTGTCCTGGAGGGAAGGGAAGGGATGCACACAGCAGGCTTTTTTATTTTTTTATTTTTAATGAGAGACAGGAGGGAGGCATGAGGTTGTACTTTATTTTTAAGAAAATGACAGTTTGATTCAGATTAGCTTTATATTTTTTGAACTGGCTTCCAGTCGGCCTCTAGGTGGGGGCCTCCACTCAACAGCTGCTGTTGTAGACCCCTCACCAATTCTGGCTCCACAAGAGGAGCAGGAATAAACAGTATAGGGCAGATGTTGGCTGAAAGGTGTAATTAAGCATACTTTTGACTTAAACATACTGTCTTAAAGAGATCCTATCTCTTTTACGGAATGAGTTGTTAGAAATTCTTTTGTATCTAACGTGAAAGCTCACAGGGTACAACTGCACTTAAATTGTCAGTCAGGACAAGCTTTAGCCTCTCAAGACAAAACCTGTAAAGGAGGTAACCCTGAGGGATATGAAGCTACAAGTTGTAATGAAGGATTGTTTTATAGGAGATGCTAACATATAGTGCTCTGTGTTTTAGTTATTAAAATGAACCCTTTTAAAGCTCAAGGATGACAAACTCAGGGTTTCCTTATGCACTGAGCTTTTAAAAGCCAATGTTGAGTTGAGATGTTAGCAATTCAGTGGAACTGTGAAAAAGATGGAATTGTGGTGGCTTTCCATAACAATTTCTTCCTCACAAACATAAAATAGCTATTTTGAAATTCCAAATTGACTAGATGGACTATGGCTTGTCCCTGAGCCATTGTTGAAGACAGACTTACAACTCTTATTAGGAGTAGCAGCTTCATATTTAAAGAAGAAAGTCTTTTTGAATTTTACCAATTAAATTACCAGTGACCTTTAAGAAGTAAGTCGAAGGTGTCTTAGAGGGAAAATTTGAAGTAATGGAGACAGGCAGCAGCATCAGAGATAAGAGCTGATAGGCAAGCTTTGAATGAAGGAAATCAAGACAGTGGTGAGATCTCACGGTGGGCAGAGGCTGAGGCTGAAAGCACAGGCAGCAGGCTGATGTTCACAGTCCTATTAGACACTTTTCTGAGCTTAAGGATGGACTTTTTAAGAGGCTCCTAAGAGTTACCTGTCCATGGCCTGAACTTTCTGTCTCAAACAACAGAAACATAGGAACTAGGAGTGATAACCTAAAACTGGGGCTTTATGTGGTTCTGGGTAGCAGGCAAATTGAGTCACTTGAATTTCCAGAGTACAAAAGACCCCTTTAACCCCTTCCTGAAAAAGATTTTTCATGGTCACATATTTTTAAATACTTGCATACTTTGTTTAGAAATCTGTATACATTTAAAAAACATGTTCTCTTAAAGAATATTCTGGCCAGGCAGGGTGATTCTTGTCTGTAATCCCAACACTTTGGGAGGCCAAGGCGGGAGGATCACTTGAGCCCAGGAGTTTGAGACCAGCATGGGCATAGTGAGACCTTGTCTCTACAAAAAAAATAAGAAATGAAAAATTTTAAAAATTGGCCAGGCCTGGTGGTGTGTGCCTGTAGTTCCAGCTATTTGAGAGGCTAAGGTGGGAAGACTGCTTGAGCCCAGGAGGTTGAGGCTGCAGTGAGCCATGATCGGACCACCACACTCCAGCCTGGGGAAAAGAGTGAGATCCTGTCTCATAAAACGTTTTATAGGTGTGAAAAATGTATTATGGCTTTAGTATTGCTTGCTTTTTTAATTATAAAAGTTTATATATTTGGAAAATATGAGAAAGAATTTTGAAAATTATACCAAGACCCAGAGAAAACTATTAACATTTTGATATAATATTGTTTCTACACCTTTCTTCAGCTCTTTAAAACAACTCTGTATTGTGAAATTTCTCCTTCTGCTCCTAGGCATATGGCTACCCATTCTCCCCAGAAATCTCACCAGTGTGCTCACTGTGAGAAGACGTTCAACCGGAAAGACCACCTGAAAAACCACCTCCAGACCCACGACCCCAACAAAATGGCCTTTGGGTGTGAGGAGTGTGGGAAGAAGTACAACACCATGCTGGGCTATAAGAGGCACCTGGCCCTCCATGCGGCCAGCAGTGGGGACCTCACCTGTGGGGTCTGTGCCCTGGAGCTAGGGAGCACCGAGGTGCTACTGGATCACCTCAAATCCCATGCGGAAGAGAAGCCCCCTAGCGCAACCAAGGAAAAGAAGCACCAGTGCGACCACTGTGAAAGATGCTTCTACACCCGGAAGGATGTGCGACGCCACCTGGTGGTCCACACAGGATGCAAGGACTTCCTGTGCCAGTTCTGTGCCCAGAGATTTGGGCGCAAGGATCACCTTACCCGGCATACCAAGAAGACCCACTCACAAGAGCTGATGAAAGAGAGCTTGCAGACCGGAGACCTTCTGAGCACCTTCCACACCATCTCGACTTCATTCCAACTGAAGGCTGCTGCCTTGCCTCCTTTCCCTTTAGGAGCTTCTGCCCAGAACGGGCTTGCAAGTAGCTTGCCAGCTGAGGTCCATAGCCTCACCCTCAGTCCCCCAGAACAAGCCGCGCAGCCTATGCAGCCGCTGCCAGAGTCCCTGGCCTCCCTCCACCCCTCGGTATCCCCTAGCTCTCCTCCGCCACCCCTTCCCAATCACAAGTACAACACCACTTCTACCTCATACTCCCCACTTGCAAGCCTGCCTCTCAAAGCAGATACTAAAGGTTTTTGCAATATCAGTTTGTTTGAGGACTTGCCTCTGCAAGAGCCTCAGTCACCTCAAAAGCTCAACCCAGGTTTTGATCTGGCTAAGGGAAATGCTGGTAAAATAAACCTGCCCAAGGAGCTGCCTGCAGATGCTGTGAACCTAACAATACCTGCCTCTCTGGACCTGTCCCCCCTGTTGGGCTTCTGGCAGCTGCCCCCTCCTGCTACCCAAAATACCTTTGGGAATAGCACTCTTGCCCTGGGGCCTGGGGAATCTCTGCCCCACAGGTTAAGCTGTCTGGGGCAGCAGCAGCAAGAACCCCCACTTGCCATGGGCACTGTGAGCCTGGGCCAGCTCCCCCTGCCCCCCATCCCTCATGTGTTCTCAGCTGGCACTGGCTCTGCCATCCTGCCTCATTTCCATCATGCATTCAGATAAATGATTTTTAAAGTGTATTTTTCGTATTCTGGAAGATGTTTTAAGAAGCATTTTAAATGTCAGTTACAATATGAGAAAGATTTGGAAAACGGAACTGAGACTATGGCTTATTCAGTGATGACTGGCTTGAGATAAGAGAATTCTCGAACTGCATGTATTGTGCCAATCTGTCCTGAGTGTTCATGCTTTGTACCAAATTTAATGAACGCGTGTTCTGTAATCAAACTGCAAATATTGTCATAACCAACATCCAAAATGACGGCTGCTATATATAAGTGTTTGTCATATGGAATTTAATCGTAAGCCATGATCATAATGTTAACTAAATAACTTTATGTGGCACTGCCTAGTAAGGGAACTATGGAAAGGTTTGGATCTCTCCAAACTGGGAGAATTTTAAAAATAAGAAAATAACCTTTATATGATATATTATGACTAGGCTGTGTATTTCTTTTCAGGGATTTTTCTACCTTCAGGGTTGGATGTAGTTTAGTTGCTATTACCATAGCCAACCTGTAGTTTTACATATACAATTTCTTGTGGAGCAATAGAGTTCTCCATTTTACAGAAGCATTTTAAATGTAGTTTGAATATTTTCCACAAGATGCTGCAATGTGAGTTATCACTTCATTTATCTTAAAGACTAAACTGGTTGTCAGCTACATCTAACAGAAAGAAAAATCACTGTGTAACCAGGTTAAGTGGTAAAATAATCCAGGCGTCAGTCAAAGGCATTTTGCTGACTATAATATTGATTATATTTTTAACAGGAATTTAAGAAAATATTACTGGAATTAAAAATATATATATTAAACAAGAATTTTCTTTGCTCTGTCTAGCTTAAACTACTACTCAAGCTGCTTAACTTCTTAAGTATTGTTTTTAATCACCAATAAATAAGTGCATTTGTAATTCATCAGTTTGTCCTTATTAGCTTTTATTCAAAGAGGATTATGTTTTACAATGTAACTATAATCTCTTGAATTTGGTATCTTATTAATGAGTTTTAAAGATGTAAAACCTAACCTTTTTTAAAGCTCCATTGTCTTATGTTTTTAGAGGCTTTCTTTTCCATAAACATATATCTTACATATAATAAACTTTTCAAATCTTGCAATTTGGCTTGATTAATTTTTCATACCGTTCCACCTGTGTCAACATGAACTACATACACTCAGATCAAGACAGAAAACACTTCCGGCTCCACCTGGCTCCCTCCTGCCCCCTCCTGCCCCCTCCTGCCCCCTCCTGCCCCCTCCTGCCCCGTCCTGGTCATTACTTCCCCCACAGAAACTACTGTTTGGACCTCTACTGAGCATCTATTAGAAACTTCACTTTTTTTGAGTAAAATAATTATGACTTAAGATAGAAGCTTATATGCTTCTGTTAAATTCACAGTGCTAAGATCTTATTTCTAAAAATACTGTACAATATTTTAAATCAGTCTATAATATGACATAATTTATTTGTAATGTATAGATCAGAATACTACTATCTACCAGAGTTTAGTCTAACCTGGGCTACCATGATCCACTTTTACAATGGTGTTTACCATTAATTTCTAGCCAAATTAGAAATGTACTTATTTCTTATTGGGATTTCCTCAAAGTATTATGCTCCTTAAATCTGACAGGCCTATTTCTGTTTATTTTACCACTAAATAGGGTGGGGTAGGTAGAGAAAGGGAAGATGAATTTATCTGTCTATCCAAGAAGCCTATTGGTCAAACGTGAGAAAAACCTGACCCACTCACAGTCCTTAACAATGATGCTGATGACCACTTAAGGGGCAAACTGCTACCCAGGGTTGGAACTGAGAAGGAAGCTGAATCTGTGAGACCCAGCTGCCAGACAGACCTGGGTCTTTAAACTACAATGAAACCCACAGGGAGGAAATGAGACAAAGTGATGTAAGTTATTCCATTAGTAGGAGTCCACTGCTTGGGGATGTTTAAGTCAGTTCCCATATCCCCTCTTTGTTCTCAGAGGCAAAGCAATCTCCCAGAGCAAAAGGGGAAAAAGGAGTAGCTCATCTCAGCTAAAACCTCCTGACATCCATTTACAGAAGCTTCCACAGATACTTTTACATGGCTTACTACTGTCTCCTGTCAGTTCCACAACACATACTTGATTTTCCTGAAAACAGAACATAACATTTGGAGTTTGGTCCCCAAAATACAGAGCATAAGAATTTCAGATATTCTGCATTAGAAGCTGAGGTAGGCTGGGATTCTCCTACTTACCTTTGGACAGAAAGAAACGGTTTAATTGTCCTAATTAAAATTTTACGAGGTGAAGAAAAAGGTCTTGGATTTAAAAGTATAAGTACAACTCATTCTACAAAAAGAGATCTATTGACCCTTAAGATTGCAAAGAGGCTGGGCACAGTGGCTCATGCCAGTAATCCCAGCACTTTGGGAGGCCAAGGCAGGCAGATGGCTTGAGCTCAAGAATTCAAGACTAGCTTGGCCAATAGCGAAACCCCATCTCTACAAAAAATATAAAAAATTAGCCGGTTGTGGTGGCGCAAGTCTGTGGTCCCAGCTACCCGGGAGGCTGAGGTGGAAGGTACTGCTTGAGCCAAGATCGCACAACTGCAGCCTGGGTGACAGACTGAGATCCTGTCCCCCCCCCCCAAAAAAAAAAAAAGACTGCAAAGAGAAGAGAGGGTGACCTCCCAACAGAGTTCTGTATAAATCAATGCTAACGAAATGAATAGATAGCTTCTGATTTGGCCATGATAAATAAATGGCTTGAGGCCACTGAGAACATTCTTCCCACAGTATGGAAGATTTTGGTAATCTTTTCTCCTCCACTTCAGTGTTTCCCCCCAAATATGGTCTGTGTGACTGGTATATGTAAGACACTTCTACACAGTATATACATAAACATTTAAAATAAGTATAATAGCTATAATTTAATACTTACTAGATGCCAATATCAAAACTGAGATTTCACAGCTAGTACATAAAACGAAGCTAGTTAAAGAAAGATTTTCCAAGTAAGTAAATAATGTTAGTACTCCAATTACTAGTCTACTAAAAAGGTTCTAATATCAAAGCAACATTGTCTTAAAAACCCATCAAATGTCCAATTAAAAAACATCAAGTGAATTTGAATAATGCATTATACAGGTTGATGTGTTTCATGCTTTTGTTTTGAAAAATTCAAAGGGAGTAAATAAAAATTTGAAGCTAGTTTTACTTGTTCTAAGTGATGCTTCAAGAAGAATCAAGGGTATATAAACCGATGTCACATCTACCGTTCCCTCCCCTTAGGTGGCATTCTGGGGTATGCAGCTATCCAGGCTGATGGGTTTCAGGGAGCCAGCCTGAAAGCAGAAAGAAGAGGCATTTACTTTAGAACGTCATTGTTTCCACATTGGGAATGCTAAATAATATAGGCCTCTTTAGACTTTTAATTGTTTTACAAACAATTCACACTCTCAGGGAACTATTCTTTTTGAAGGTAAGGTACTTAGAAAAAGGGACAAGGCAATAACCTTTCCGGTCAAAAGTGAAGGATCATTCCCCTTTCCTATTAAGTCATAAATCAAAAACTGAATATCCTCTTTGAACTGTATGTTTAACAGAAGAGTCAGTTTCAAGAGCATACATTTTGTTAACTCAATCTGGAGTTTGTCCAAACGTCTCTTCAGTTTGCCTACTATGCATCCGTTCTCTTAAAAGTCATTAACTGACCAGGAACACCTGGATTAGAGGTGATTTTTTTTTTTTCTTACCTGGCTTCTAGGAGTTAATCTTTTTTAGAAGATTTACTAAATCCTTGTCTGAGTTTTGCTCCAGAAGCAGGGTCCATAGCTAATCCTTTGCAAACACAAACAGACTTGTTATTATGTCAAAGCAGAACATTACCAAGAAAAGAAGACATAATTGTGAAATCCCCACATGGGTTCAAAAGTTTCTATTCTTCCTTTGTTTTTCTTTTTTGGTGAGAGGTGGGGGAGTGTTGTGGGGAGGGTAGTAAGGGTAGGGTAGCTATAGACAAATACCCACTCTCTGGCCTGAACCAAATAAGGAAAACAGGGGCTCCCTCAGGTGTCTTCTTTCCTCTGCCCCTAGCCTCTGTTTACTCATGGACTTTGGACTGTACCTCAGGTAACCCACCTTTTATACACTAGGACTTTCGACACCCCCTCCACTATTGCCCCAGCTTTCAAAATGGACCCTGATATTTTGGATCTTCAAATTCTTTGCTAGCTCTCATATGAGAAGACTTTGCTAAGCCTTACGGAAGAATAAGCTTCCTTCCCTGCTTGAGGTTGTCTACGTGACAATGGATTCATTCTGCAAACAGTATTCTTTTCCCTTGAGCCCAGCAGCGCTGTTAGGTATGGAGATACACAAGTTTATGGATATGCGCACACCACAGCACCCCCTGACCACATCGTAGGGGACAGGATTCTCAGAGGTTCTTTTTTGTTAAAAAATAAAAAAGGAACAAGTCCCCTCTGTCCTAAGAAGCCTCCTTTCTACTCAGTGTTTTATGAAGGAGCAATAACAAGGAAATTGTGGATCAAACTCTCAAAGGATAGGAATAGAAAGAGCTTTCAGTGTTAGTTTTACTGAAACATAAACTGGTTTTACTTCTGCCAAAGAATCCGCAACTGACACTTTGATGCTCGACAGGTTTGCTACATAAGTAAATTAGGTAAAGAATGGAATGCTAGTGAAGGTAAAATGCTTAACTTGATGAAAATCCACTGGATCTAGAAGTAAAGTAGAGCCCACACCAGCAAAGCTGTACTAATGCAATCCACTACTAAATATACAAAGCAATGCAGGTCTAGATCCCAGAACTACATGCTCATCGTGACATTAGTCTCTGTACAAAGATCTTGGAGAAGCAGCTTCTTGGCAGTACCTTCCAGTATATTTATCACTCATATAACAAAAGCCTCCAGAAAACAGCCACCAGTACATATTTGCTGACTAGGCTATACACTCATTTCCCATCTGAACATTAGAATCTTTTAGGAATGCAAGAAGAGCCACATCTTTCTCTAAAATAATTTCTGAATATGTATCAATAGAAAAATCAGTAGCATTTCTATACAGCAATAATAATCACGCTAAGAACCAAACCAAAAGTCAATCCCATTTCTAATAGTCAAAAAAAAAAAAAAAAGAAAAGAAAAGAAAAAGAAAACAATTCTGGGAATACATTTAACCAAGGAGTAATAGATGCCTATAAGGAAAACTACAAGATACTGATGAGAGTTAAGAGGACACAAGTAAATGGAAAAACATTCCATTCTCATAGATTAGAAGAATCAATATTGTTAAAATGACCATATTGCCCAAAGCAATCTACAGACTCAATATAATTCCTATCAAAATAACAATGACATTTTTCACAGAATTAGAAAAAAAAAAATCCTAAACTTCATATGGAACTGAAAAGAACCCAGTTAGTGAAAGCAGGCATCACATTTCCTAACTCCAAATTATACTACAAGTCTATAGTAATCAAACAGCATGGTACTGGTATAAACATAGACATATAGATCAACAGACAGAATAGAGGACCCAGTAAGGGAGGAGACCACCCCTCTTATTGTCTTATGCCCAATTTCTGCCTCCAAAGAAAGAAGAAGTAAAAACTAAAAGGCAGAAATGAAATCCACAAGCAGACAGCCCGGCACCATACCCTGGGCCTGGAAGTTAAAGATCTACCCCTGACCTAACCAGTTATTTGCATTAAAAAGGCACTGTGAAGATCTCTGTCCTGTTCATTTCCTTTCTAATTACCGGTGTATGCAGCCCCCAGTCACATACCCCCTGCTTGCTCAATCAATCACAACCCTTTCACACGGACCCCCTTAGAGTTGCAAGCCCTTAAAAGGGACAGGAATTGCTCACTCGGGGAGCTCGGCTCTTGACACAGGAGTCTTGCCAATGCTCCCAGCTGAAGAAACCACTTCCTTCTTTAACTCGGTGTCTGAGGGGTTTTGTCTGTGGCTCTTCCTGCTACACCAGAAATAAAACCACATACCTATAGCCAACTGATATTTAACAAAGTTGACAAAAACATACATCAGAGAAAGGACACCCTACTCAATAAAGGGTGCTGGGAAAACTGCATAGCCACATGCAAAACAAGGAAACTGGATTTATCCGTCACTATATACAAAAATTAAGATGAGTTAAAGACTGAAACGTACGATGTGAAACTAAAAATTCTAGAAGAAAACCTAGGAAAAATTCTTCTGGACATTGGTCTATGCAAAGAATTCAAGACTAAGATTTCAAAGCAAATGCACCAATAACAAATATAGACAAATGGGACTTAAACTAATGCTTCTATAGAGCAAAAGAAATAGACAATGAACAGACAAGCTACAGGTCGGAAGAAAATATTTGCAAACTATGCATCTGACAAGGGACTAATATCTAGAATCTACAAGGAATTCAAACAAGTCAACAACAACAACAAAAGGATTAGGAAGTGAGCAAAGAACCATGGACAGACATTTTCCAAAAGTAAACATGAAAATGCCCAACAAGCAGATGAAAAAATATTCAACATAACTAATCATCAGAGAAATGCAAATTTAAACCATAATGAGATGTCATCTTATACCAGTCAGAATGGCTACTATTAAAAAGTCAAAAAATAACAGATGTTGGCAAAGATGCAGAGAAAAGGGAACATTTATATACTGTTGGTAGAAACGTAAATTAGACAACCTCTGTGGAAAACAGTATAGAGATTTCTCAAAGAATTAAAAATAGAACTACCCTTTGATCCAGCAATCCAACTACTGGGCATATAGCCAAAGGAAAAGAATCATTTTATGAAAAAGATACATGCACTCATGTTTATCACAGCACTAGTCACAAGAGACACAGAATCAACCTAAGTAACCATCAATGAATGATTGGATAAAGAAAATGTGGTATATATATATGGAATACTATGTATCCATGAAAAAATAAAATAATGTCTTTTGCAGCTATATGTATGGATTTGGAGGCCATTATCTTAAGTAAAATATCAAAAACAGAAAGTAAAATACTGCATGTTCTCACTTGTAAGTGAAAGATAAATAGTATGCACACATGGACATACAGATTGGAATAACAGGCATTAGAGACTTGGAAAGGTGGGAGGGTGGGAGGCGGGTGAGGGATGAAAAGTTACCTAATGGGTACAATAAACACTATTCAGGTGATGGTTACGCTAGGAGCCCAGACCTCAGCACTAGGCAATATACCCATTTAACAAAGCTGTATTTGTACCCCCTAAATCTATTTTAAATAAATAAACAAGGTCACTGTATAATGATAAAGGGATCCATTCAGCAAGAAGATATAACAATTCTAAATATATATGAACTTAACACCAGAACATCCAGTTCCTCTAGCTTATATAGCAAATATATAGCAATATATAGCGAATATTATTAGATCTAAAGGGAGAGATAGACTCCAATACAATAATAGTTGAAGACTTCAACACCCTACTCTCCATATTAGGCAGATCATCAAGACAGAAAACCAACAAAGAAACATTAGATTTAAACTGCACTTCAGATCAATGTACCTAAAAGACATGCATGGAATATTTTATCCAATAGTGACAGAATACACATTCTTCTCATCAACACATGAAACATTCTCTAGTGTAGACCATATGCTAGGCCAAAAAGCAAGTTTAAATTTAAAAAAAAATCAAAATCATATCAAGTACCTTTCAGATCACAATGGGATAAAACTAGAAATCAATAACAACAGGAACTTTGGAAACCGTACAAATACTTGGAAATTAAATAACATGCTTAACAGCCATTGGGTCAATGAAGAAGAAAGAAGGAAATAAATGTCTTGAGACAAATGAAAATGGAAACACAACATATCAAAACCCATGGGATGTAGTAAAAGAAGTGCTAAGAGGGAATTTCATAGTAATAAATGCCTATATCAAGAAGTAGAAACATTTCAAATAAGCTAATGATACCCCTCAATAACTAGAAAAGCAAGAGCAGAACAAATCCAAAATTAGAAGAAGGAAAGAAAAAATAAAGATCAGAGCAGAATTAAATGTAATAGAGACTTAAAAATAATACAAAGGTCAATGGAATGAAAAGTTAGTTTTTTGAAAAGACAAAATAGATAAATCACTAGCTAGACTAACCAAGAAAATAAGAGAGAGGATGTGAATTAGCAAAATCACAAACAAAAAGGGACATTACAACTGATACAACAGAAATACAAGAAAGCATCAGAGACTTATAAAGAACTATATGCTAACAAATTAGAAAAGCTAGAGGAAATGGATAAATTCCTAGACACATACAATCTACCAAGAATGAATCAGGGCTGGGCACCGTGGCTCATGCCTGTAATCCCAGCACTTTGGGAGGCCAAGGTGGGCGGATCACCTGAGGTCAGAAGTTCGAGACCAGTCTGACCAACATGAAGAAACCCTGTCTCTACTAAAAATACAAAAAAAAATTAGCCTGGTGTGATGGCACATGCCTGTAATCCCAGCTATTTGGGAGGCTGAGGCAGGAGAATTGCTTATACCCGGGAGGTGGAGATTGCTGTGAGCCGAGATTGAGTCACTGTACTCCAGCCTGGGCAACAAGAGTGAAACTCCCTCTCAAAAAAACAAAACAAAAAAAAACAAAAAAAAACAATGAATCAGAAAGAAAAACCTGAACAGACCAATAACGAGTAATGTGCCGGGTGGGGTGGCTCATGACTGTAATCTCAGCACTTTGAGAGGCCACAGGTGGGTGGATCATGAGGTCAGGAGATTGAGACCATCCTGGCTAACATGGTGAAACCCCGTCTCTACTAAA